GGCTCCCCATCCATCAAGATGGCCTCCAGTATGGCACAAGATAGCCCAAGTTGGTTCGAAACAGCCTCCCACAAGCATCCCAAATGCCCCAAGGCGGCTACGATCGCTCGCCGTTTTGCTTTCGTCGAGCCTTTGAAGTCTCATGATGGCTCCAAGATGGCCGAAGAGAGCCCGAGGGGCCAAGAGGGCTTCAAGACGGTCCAAAGATGCAAATGTTCGGCACCCCCCTTTTGAGCCATGGGGCCTGAGATCGCCCCAAGAGGGCCCCAAGACGCCCCAAAAGAGCCTCTAGCCAGATGGCCCCAGAGCTCCCCAAACGATCTCACATCAAAAGGTCTACGAAGGCCTCCTCCTTCGCCTCCTCCTTCTCCCTCTCCCCTTCATTCTCATATCGTTTGGCCTCCTCCTCCTCCTCCGCCTCGTCCTCCTAAGATGGCTCGAGGCTCCAGGAGCCTCGTAGAGGCGAGTTGTCACATCCAGAACCGATGCTCAGTCGGCATCGGTTCTGGATGAAATGGATGCTCTGCTGCATGAGCTCGTCCGCCGCGGGTAGGATTCGGTTTCCCACAATTCCTCAGGTCGCACCCTCTCTGTCACGAAACACTCTGAGGTGAACCAGAAAGGCGTTCGCAGCGCATCCACGGAGCGCCCGTCAACTCACCGAAGAAGATGATACAGAGGAGGGCGCGAGGAGGAGTGTCCCTCGTCAAGGCAACTCCCTCATCATCGATCGTTGCTCATTGGAGGACACGTGTTTGCTTACCGTTGCTGAAGCTGCTGCTGAAGCATGTTTTCCCACCACGTAGCTTCCACCACTGCCCGCTTCAGTAAAACTCGCGATATAAGGGTAAAGGGAACGGTCAACAGCAGAACCCCCTCGAGCCTGCGCGGGGAACTCTTCGGCCGACGACCTGCGGGGAAAATCGCCGAGCTCCCCCCCGGCAAGCACCGACAAGAAGAGCTCCGCAGGTGGCCAAAAAAACAAAAAAACTGGCAGGACAGACGGAGGAGGAGGAGGAGGAGGAGGAGGAGGAGGAGGGGGGGGGGCCCTCCGAACATGCAGCAGAACCTCCGCGTCAGCTTCTGCCGAAGCACGGCGCTCGGATCCTCCGCCGGCTGGCGCAATATCGGTGACCTCTTCGGAGGCCAGAGGCCGCACGCGCAGACCCTGTGGTGGACGACGCGGAAGAGCCGGCGTCGAGGCACTGTCGATCCACAGTCCGCCCTTGGGCAATGCGCTGGGTACCTTGAGGTCGGGCATGTCCCCCTACGGGGGGAGCTTGGACGAAACATAAAAAACAGTCCAAAAATGCTCCAAACAGTGTTCAAAAATAGTCAAAACAAATCGTCCCCAGACTATTGTTTTAAACCTATTTTGGAGCATTCCTCCTGTAGAAGGACAGGTCCGACTTAATCGTAGGCAATGCGCTGAGTACCTGAGACTTTCACGAAATCGGACGCTGAGCGGTTTTGTGGACACGTCCTCTAGCTCGACTAGCGCCCGCAGACGGGGATGAGACGAAAGGAGGGCGAGGAGGGGGCGGGGGAGAGGGCATGGCCCAAGCGGCCAGAGAGAATCGGCAGAACCTCATGGACAGGACACCCGTAAGAAAGAAGGCAGAGCGAAGCCAATGTCCGGTAAACTCTCAGCGCGTTGACGGAGCTGGGGGCGGAGCTGTTAAAAAAGCTCAGACGCCATTACGTACGTGCAGAGGCAATTAGCTTTGCACACGGCACAACAATGCAAAAGAATGGCAGACCTGAGGTCGAGCCGTGATTAACTTTTAGCGTGTAGGCAACATGATTGTACTAAAGACGCCGCCTCACCCCTGCATGCATGCTATCCTTGTTACCCCTTCTTTTTCCGTCCACCCCCAAGCCTCCACCATCCGCACGCCTGAGCGGCATTCGACTCCGCTTGCCCGAGCAGTCATTGAGGTGCCGAGTTGCCAGCGAGGCCGAGAAAGTGTCACATGCCGATGCCAAACTTCGAACTACCCAGCCAGAGCAGCAATCGGGCTACGCCGAATCGGCGTGGGCTATCTTTGTGCACTCCCGAAGTTGCAGCCAGAAGGGGCCAGCAGACCGATGCTGTGGATTGAAGCATATGGTGAGTGTGGCCCTTGCGACAGGAACGAAACCGCTGCTGTCGCGGCAACTTGCTAGGCGTATCAAGGCTAGAAGCTTGGCACGTCAGCTGGGCAAATACTACGCCACAGTGCTATGATAATATCAGGCCGAGATGGCCGACTCTAGGAAAATCTGCGCCGCCAGCGCATCGCAAGAAGAGACTATTACACGATGGTGCCAGCGTGAGAGCCGAAGGCCACCACGCGCGATGAAGCGCCTGGTTATGCAGCACCGCACTGCTCGGCCGCGTTGCACTGCTCAGCCCCATATCCGCCACTGCGCCTGCAGCAGATGGTGTGCGCCTGGCCCCTTGCTCTTTCCCCAGTTCGGTCCCTTGCGAAGCACGAGCTATGCCGAGCAAGAACTGGAGCCCTCGACGCACTGAGCCCAACGCCTGCTCGCTTGTCGGGCAAGGTCTGCGCTCCCCGCCGCCCGCGCAGGAGAGGGCGCCAAGATCGCATGCTCGGGCGGGCACGCTCCGCGGCATTTCAACCCGTCCGCCCGGGCGCCCACCGACCCCCACCCCCACACCCCCCTCCAGGTACCCGGCCCGAGCGCGGCGGCGGGCTTGCGCGGCAGCGCAGCTGGATAAGTCCGCGCACAGGTGCTCCGCCACGGTGATGCCGCACTGGCCGAAGAAGGCGGTGAAGCTTATCCTGCTCATGTTGGCCATCAGGACCATGAATCCTATGATGCAGACGAGTTCGTCGTGGAGAATGGGGTGCTGGCTCCATTTGGCCCGCCAGATGCTCGTGTCGTGCTGAGAGACTCTCCCAGAATTCCTCGCCTCAGCCTCTAAGCTGCGAAACTGACCTGTCTCCTTATAGTGCTCAAACCTCCCGCCTTCATCGATCTGAAGGGCCGGAAAATTCTGCCCCGGCATTTGCAAGCGAAGCACCGTCTGCATGTAGGTCTCATTTTTCACTGGGTAGTAGATCCGGTGAATCATGAACATGACAAGATCGGAAAACAAAGACATGAGAACGAAGATAGGGAAGGATATCCAGAAGACGGGACGCTGGGCGAAGGGTACTTCAGTGGCAAAGCACCACACGCCGATAAAAAGGTAAGACGGCAGCACTGTGAAATCGACGAAGTAACCAGATCGGATGAACACATCCCGCTCAGCATTAATGACGCATGGAAATTTCCCTCCAGTCAACGCGCTCAAGAAGCGCCCACTAAGGACAGCCCTTTTCCAAATATCTCCGGCAGTAGCAACTACAACCGTGACAGCCATTTGCTTGAGACCGGCCCCGATGTCGTCATATTTCGCGGCTTCCACCAAGCCCGAAAGCTGGAGAATCTGTGTCGTCCCAACAACCACGCAGACAAACAGGGAGAAGACGACATTCGGAACACCCTCGGTGTCACAATGATTCAAGATCCAGCACATTGTGGTGAATCCCCCGCCAGAGTACATGGCCGCCGCAGCTGGCAAGACGAGGCCTGCTGCGGCGCCTTCCAGACCAAAGACCTCGACGATCTTGTGGTGATACGTAAGGATCAAGACTATGGCAACTTGGACGAACAGGAGCCAAACGACGAACGCCAGCATGAAGCAACGTTTTTTCACCCACTTGAACACCAAGGCGGTCCATACCACCATTCCGACCACCAATCCTATGGTCCCCGTCCTCTTCGTGTACCACGCCGCCGCCGACAGTACAGCAAACAGCACGCCGCCGAAGATTGTAGCCCACCTCGGCACGATGCCAGTCATGGCCACGACCACTGCGTACCAAGGCCTGCTTGGAAAGATCGCCATGCAATACGTCAAGACGAAGCCGAGCCAAGATATGTTCGGGATCACGGTGTTCACCATATAGAACGTGTTCTGCACGCAGATGATTACCATGACGTACGGGTGGAAGAACCACTTCAGGGTAATCGAATACTCTCGCCACTCAACCTGCGCCAGGCCACTCTTCCGGCTCCCCTGCGGGCCCTCTCGGTCCACGGCCGGCGTCATGGCTGGCTCGTCGTCCATCTTGGGCGTTTTCTCCGCAGCATGGCCCCCGTCCTGATCCACGGCGTCGGGCAGTTTCTCGTTGGACTCCACGGAGGACCGCGCGACCTTGTCTGTGCAGAAGGACACCTGGCTGCCCATTGCTGTTCTGCGGGTGGGTAATGATAACTACAAACCCTGACTGCACGAACGTGTCTTGAGCCAGCACGGCTGTAGAGGAAAACAGATGCCCGCTTTGGGGCACCCGCGCTACCAGCCCATACCGAGCTGGCTGCCAGTTGGAAAGTACGTACTTGGAGTGACGCGGTATGGCTTGGTAGCGAAGGCGAGGGTTCAAAATTTGACCTTCTGTATTTGAGCTTCCCCCGTGCGCTTTCCATCCCTGGGGCCAGGAGACAACACGCTGGGGATGTTCTGTCTGCAAGGGAGGACTGAAAACTCTGCCATGCGGATTTATCAATACGCGCCCCCCCAGCCCTCTAGGCCTTGCCCTCGGCAAAAACCGTTCAGCGGCCCAGGCCCCGAAACGGGCCTCATGACGCCGAAACTGAACATACAACTATACATGTTGCTGCGAAGGCAACGTCTGGGGAGGAGGAAGGGGACGACGACGAGGAGGAGGAGGGTGGGGGGGAAGTCCCAACCACCCTCCTCTCCCCTGCCTTCCTTGCCCGCCCCGCCCAGGCCCCATCCCCTCCCCCACCCTCGACCCCCACCCCCTCACCTCACCTCGCCCGCCTCCTCTCTGGAGCCTGATTTTCCCATGCCGGGACCGCGAACGCATGATCGATGCATCGGCGCAGCGGCGAGAGTATCAGATCCCCTCTGTTCCAGCCCACGTAAGAAATTTGCACATTTAGGCGACCCAGGATTTCAGGAGACGTAGCGCCGCCCAAACAACTCACGTCGCGGTGGTCTCAGTTCGCGGGGCACCAAACTTCTCGACCTCAACGTCCGCATAGCTTTCGCGCCGCATAGCTTTCGAGCGTTCTCGGGCACGGAGAGGGCCTCCGGGGCCCAACTTTGAGAACGCTGGCCTTCGCATCCGCCAGAAGTTTGTTGGGCGCGCGGCCATGGCCTGCCATGGCCTGCCCCCGGCTTCTCGGGGGATCTCTCTCTCTTTCTCTCTGCCTCCCTCTCTCCATCCATCACTTCTTCTCTCTCTCTCTCTCTCTCTCTCTCTTTCTCTCTCTCTCTCTCTCTCTATCTCTCTTCTCTCTCTCTCTCTCTCTCTCTCTCTCTCTCTCTCTCTATATATATGTATGTCTCTATCGCTCTCTCTCTCTCTGCCAGGTGTTCTCCTTCTTCCTCTCTCTCTCTCTCTTTCTCTTTCTCTGTTTCTTTCCCTTGACCTGTGGTGTGTCCACTTGGACATCGCATGTGATATATGCGACGAGGCACGGTTGGCCCGCAGTTTGTCGCGCCGCTGGTGCTGGAATTGGTCGTTGGAGCTGGGCTACTCCTCGAGGGACGACTACGAGAAGGAGATCCGTCGCCACGTGGATGCCCGGCGGCAGGCTCGGGATCGAGTGGCAGCTCGGGGTCCTCATCGGGCTGCCGCGATCCAGTGCTTGTACCGGCTGGAGGTCGGCTCGGCGTGCGACGTCACCAACGGCATCGAGAACCCCCGCCCGAGGCAGCTGATGGGGCTGCCGCCAGATCGCGCACTCCCTCCACCACCGCCAAGGCCGCATGGCGGACCTGCGCCGTGATCTGGCGGAGTTGTCGGCGAGGTGGGCTCACGACCTACGAAAAGATGGCTTCGCCTATGTGTGCCATACTTTTGACCTCGGTGATGGAGAACCCCGCCAGAACCACCAGGCCAGAGACGCTCGCCGTGCCACCGCGCCTCTAGGAACCACGATCCACGACCTGGTTCGCCGTTGGTGTACCGCACACTGGAGACGGCCAGCTCGCACCCGCAGCTGGCTCTTCGATGTCCTGGACTCGCTGGCGGACGATCTCGAGGCGTGGCAACACGCCATCGCGATGCCCTGGAACTCCCAGCTCACGATCAAAGACCGTCTGCGCCAACTCCTGGGCAACACGGCCCCTTGCAACGACTACCGCTTCCTCTGCTACGATCACGGCGACATCCTCGAGAGCGATGGCCAGGTGGAAAGTGCGGATGCACTGTCACAGACGTCCTTGGGTGGAAACTGCGACCGTATTTCCAGTGGCCTCCCTGAGCAGACGGTACCGACCCACGCCGTCGCTGTGGGCACGCACTGGTCGCTCAGGACGCTGGCCCGTTCTGGCAGCTTGGGTGGGAACGGCGCTGTTATTTCCAGTGGCCGTCTCGGGCAGATGGTACCGACCCACTCTAAGGCAGTGGGCGCGCACTGGTCACCCAAGACGGCCACACATGGCTCCTTGTGGGGTTCAGTGGTTGCCCCAGCAGCAAGAGCAGCGAGGTGGGATCGAGTGGTCGTGTCGATCCTGGTGCCGATGCTGACAGACGACGTGACGCACGAGATATCACTGACAAAGAGAAGGCGACGCCATCGGAGCGCAGACCCAAGAGCTACAAACACAATCCCGACACGCTCGGCATCATGACGGTCAATGTAACAGGATGTGGTATTTGCCTGGAGCAGCTCAAGAAGCACAACGTGCACGACCATGTGCAGGCCGTACTCGCCCAGGAGCACCACTTGGCGGAGGAATTGAAAATTGGGGCTGCCGCCACAGCTGCTCGCAAAGCTGGCTGGATCACCGATGTCATCCCCGCCGCCAAGACCGACGAGGTTGGCACCTCCGCTGGCACTGGCATCCTGGCACGGCCGCGGGTACACATGCAGCGCGTTGAATCATCCGACGATCGTCTTTGCTTGGTCGCCGTCGCCGCCCCGTGGCCGCCTCATCGCCGCCCGTCGTCTGGGTCCGGGTGCCGTTCTGGCGGCTCGGCGGTTGCAGCAAGCGCCGCGTCGTCACCTCGTCACCGCCCGTCGTTTGGGCTCGGGCGCTGGTCTGGCGGCTCCGCGGTCGCCGTCGCCGTGGCCGACTCCTCGCCACCCGTCGGCTGGGCCTGGGTGCCAGTCTGGGGGTTCCGTTGTCGCCGTCGCCTCCTCCTCCTCCACATTTACTCAATATGAGTACTACTCTCCAGGAGTGTTCGCCCCCCCCCCCCCGGCGTACTGTTTTTTTACACACAGGATTCCCCGGAGTTGGGTTTTCGCCTGCATTTTTGCTGCTCTCGCTGAGGCGCCGGCCTCATTTTCGGGCCCCGCTCGTTCCGAATCGTGCTCCCGCTGCAGCGCTGGCCTCATTCCCGTGCTTCCGCTCGTTCCGAATCGTGTTCCCGCTGCATCGCTGGCCTCATTTCCGCGCTTCCGCTCGTTCCGAATCGTGCTCCCGCTACAGCGCTGGCGTCATCTCCCGTGCCATGCCACGGCATGCAATGCAATGCTAGGTTGCGTTCCGCTGCGCGATGCCATGCCTTCGGCTGAAGCTGTGATATGCAGTGCTTAAGTGTCACGTCGTGCTATGCCATGCTACGCTTTGATCTTTATCGCCATGCTATGCAATGTGATGTTCGGGGCCGCTGTGCGATGCCATGCTTTGCGTTGTAAAGCTTTGTGTTGCAATTCTTCACTACGCCACGCCACGCCATGCTGTGACATACTACGCTCTGCAGTGCTCTTCTACGCCATGCCATGCCGTGCTCTACAATGCATCGCGTACCATTTCGGGATCATTGCCCTGGTCGACATCCGACTGTGCGAGTAGAGAGGGGATCTACGCCATGGTGAGGGATGAGAGGGAGGGGTAGGATGTCAGATATGACGCGAGCGCACCTAGCTTGTCCTCCTCCCCCTCCTCCTCCTCCTGCTCCTCCTGCTCCTCCTGCTCCTCCTGCTCCTCCTGCTCCTCCTGCTCCTCCTGCTCCTCCTCCTCCTCCTCATCCCTCCCTCCTCCCTCCTCCTCCCTCCTGACTCCAGTTCCTCCTCCTCCTCCCTCCTCCTCCTCCTCCTCCTCCTCCTCCTCCTGCTCCTCCTGCTCCTCCTGCTCCTCCTGCTCCTCCTGCTCCTCCTGCTCCTCCTGCTCCTCCTGCTCCTCCTGCTCCTCTCCTGCTCCTCCTCCCTCCTGCTCCTCCTCCTCCTCCTCCTCCTCCTCCTCCTCCTCCTCCTCCTCCTCCTCCTCCTCCTCCTGCTCTCCTCCTGCTCCTCCTCCTCCTCCTGCTCCTCCTGCTCCTCCTGCTCCTCCTCCTGCTGCTCCTCCTGCTGCTGCTGCTCCTGCTCCTCCTGCTCCTCCTGCTCCTCCTGCTCCTGCTCCTCCTGTTCCTCCTGCTCCTCCTGCTCCTTCTGCTCCTCCTCATACTCCTGCTCCCGCTCCTGCTCCTCCTCCTCCTCCTCCTTCTTCTTCTTATTATTATTCTTCTTTGTTTTCTTCTTATTATTATTCTTATTATTATTATTCTTATTATTCTTCTTATTATTATTCTTCGTATTATTATTATTATTATTATTATTAGTATTATTAGCATTATTCTTATTATTATTATTATTATTATCCTTCTTCTTATTATTCTTCTTCTTATTCTTATTATTATTCTTATTATTATTATTCTTATTATTCTTCTTATTATTATTATTCTTCTTATTATTATGATTCTTATTATTCTTATTCTTATTATTATTATTATTCTTATTATTATTGTTATTGTTATTCTTCTTCTTATTCTTATTCTTATTATTCTTATTATTATTATTCTTATGTTTATTCTTCTTCTTCTTAGTAGTAGTATTAGTATTATTAGTAGTATTATTATTATTAGTATTATGCTTATTAGTATTAGTATTACTATTATTATTAGTATTAATATTATTAGTAGTATTAGTAATATTAATATTAATATTATCATTAATTATTTATTATTATTATTAATATCATTATTATTCTTATTATTGTTATTAATAGTATTACGCTTCTTACTATTATTCTTCTTCATATTATTATTCTTGTTAATATTATTATTATTATTCTTATTATTATTATTCCTCCTCCTCCTCCTCCTCCTCCTCCTCCTCCTCCTCCCCCTCCTCCTCCTCCTCCTCCTCCTCCGCCTCCTCCTCCTCCTCCTCCTCCTCCTCCTCCTCCTCCTCCTCCTCCTCCTCCTCCTCCTCATGCGTTTTCTGGCCACGAGCCTCTTCTGGCGCATCAGACGTCTCCAACACGTCCTTGGTTGGCACCACCGTCCACAGGCCCACCTGGACCCCGCCGAGCCGGATGCGGCCCAGCCTGGTCCGGACCACGGCAGCGGAGGGGAGCCCGGCGATCTGGCACGTCTGGTGTATCTTAGCGGAGGGCAGCATCCCCCGCACGACCACTCGCAGCTGCGCTCCCTCCCCGCCGCGAGGCGGCCCCTCCGCCTCGCACGCCACCACCTGCGCCCGGCCAGCGGCGCACGCTTCCAGCCCCGCGCGCAGGGCGGCCAGCTGGCCCGCGGAAACCGAGTCGAGGCACGAGACGATCCGCCGACAGCCCCTCGTGGGGAGATCTCAGACTGTGAAGCGTCACTCGTGTGGCGATCCCGTAGCAGGGCCCAAGAAGAACCCAAGAACGCCAGAGGGTGGCTCAGATGCGGCCATGGTTGCCCGATGCCCCCAAGAGGTCACCAAGACGGACCAGGAAGGCCTCAATCGCCCGCCAAGACCCCTGCGATGACCCACGACAGCATCAAGAGATCCCCAAGCCGCACTCAAGATTGCCCCCGAGTTCGCCAATACAGCCCGGGCCTTCAAGAAGGCCTAAGAGGGCCCAAGAGGCACAGAAGTGTCGGAGACGACATGAGAGTGCAACACAAGCAATCCTGTAATAGGGGGGACACAACTTGGCAGCTTGACCAACGTGCTCCCAACGTTTGGCCTCGTGGACGATTCAAAAAACTGGCGGGGGGCGGCTGTGACTCACCGAAAGCATCTTGGATAAGACGGTACTCCGTCTCGATGTCGGGGCTGCGGGAAATGCGCGTCGCTACCCGCCCATCCTGGCATGAGGGGAAAGGGCCCTGGTGGCAACAGCTGCTGGATCCGCTGGGCTGTCCCCGGGAGCGGCTGCCCACCCTGAACTCTTAAGAGGAGGAGGAGGAGGAGGAGGAGGAGGAGGAGGAGGAGGGGGAGGAGGAGGAGGAGGAGGAGGAGGAGGAGGAGGAGGAGGAGAAGGGGAAAGAGGAGGAGGCGGAGGCGGAGAAAGAGGAGGCGGAGGCGGAGTCTCTCTGGAGTCTCTGCCTGATCGCGTAGCGATGTGGATAATTAGACCTCCGCCACCCCACTTGGGGTGTTGTGAGCTCTGGTGGCCTTCTCAGCTCGACTGAGGGCCTTCGGCCAGAGCCCCTTGGAAATACGCTTGAAGTATTCCTGCCCCGAGGGGGTGAGCCTACGACAGGGTTCCGCGAGTTTCCCGAGAACCAACTGAGCGCAAGCTCCACACCTGACACAGAACCACAAATTCAGCCCAGCGTGGAACCGAGAACGGTGGCTACTGTGCACGAACCCCCCCGCGACATGGACCGACTTCCCCTGAGGGGCCTCCTTATAAGTGCCGTCTATGTTGAGAAGCTCCAAACATTCCGAAAGGAGCCAACGAGACCTCGAAGCCTTGCTGGAGGAACAAAAGCACCTAGTACATTGGGAGCCAGTGGGGTCAACAGAGTGCTGGGGCCCAAAGAGAGCACAAGAACGAGGGGCAGGCGGTCGGTCGGCCTTAGCCGCCTGCCTCTTAGGGCGTTGCTCCCTCTGACACTGAAACTCCCGCTTCTGAGCCTCGAGGGTGTCGAGTGCCGCGCGAAGTAACCTCATGCGAACCTGAAAAGCTTTTTGTTCAGCCAGCGCTACCCGCTGGCGGTGTTCAGGTGAAACCCGTGCCTCACTGGCGGCGATACCAGCAAGAGTGTCTGCCACACAATTGCCCACCGCCAAGGACGAAGCAATCCTCCCTTGAATGATATCCTGTGGTTCGGCGTGAGAAGGTATCCAGATGACTGTGATCGTCCCAGTACGCTGCGCCGTCGCCTTTTTCAATCTGAGCCAAAGGTCAGCGTCGCGGCCTGTAGGTTCCTGGACCTTGCCGTGTTGGAAATTGATATAGCAGGCTTCATTGCCTGTGGAAAAAAACGATGTCCTGGTCTGTGGCATCCACCGTCGCGACGAGAGCGAGGAGCTCGCCTCTGGGCACTGTCGGATGGGGACCTGGTAACGGCCCCCAGAAGGCAGCACGTATCTCCATGTCGTTGTCCTCGAGGCTAGAAAATACAGCTCCGACACCCACCCTCCGAAGATGTGGGTTGTTGGTGTCCTGGCCGCCGCCTGCATCACCGAAAGCGTAAAGTGTCGTATCGGCGTGGGCTCGCAGACATTGTGGGAAGAACTGCTCGAAACCATGGCAAGACCACTGTTCATGTTGTGGCGGTTGTGGTACCTCCGTCCACGCTGCTGGCATTAGTCCCCTAGTCCAGAAACACACGTACATGTCCCGCCGGGCGCAGGCCTCGGGTAGTGAATAGTTGGTGCCCTGAAGGATGGGATTGTCCTGATTGCCTTCGCATTCCCAGGCGCGGTGGAAGTCGTCTTCATTGGCCAGACCGCACCTGGGGCACTTGGCGTCAACGTCTGGCATCTTTGTCTCCTGAAATACTCGCTGTCGTGTCCACATGGCGCCCGTAGCGATGGTGAGCATCAAATTGGACAACCTTACTCCCTGTGGCATGCGCTCTAAGTAGGTGAGCAGCCGGCGGTAGGACCTGTTGCCCACACCATGATGTAGGCCCTCGCCTCCATGGTGCTTGCTGGCACAAACCCACAGTTGATGGCAAATGCAGGTATCGATGTCAAGCAGGAGCTGATGTGGAATGTCGGCGTCGGGGAAACCAGAAAGCTCTGCGACGTCAATCACCCATGAGTCCCCGCTGAGACCTGCTGCCTGAGGCATGTGCCATTGAGTCGGTCGTGCTGGGTCCCACCCCATCTGCATGAGGTAGTGGATGATGGTGGCTTGTGGGCCACGTATGTGTCGGACACGCTGAGCTGCTGGGGTGCGCTTGAATTGCTCGACGATCTTTGCCCACGTGCTGTTGATGGCATGGTGGAGCTGCTAGTTGGAAGTCCACGCCGTGAACCAGGCAACAACGGATTCACGTGGCAATTCCCGTGCTGGGTCCCGTTCTGCAGCCTTAAGGTCGAGAAGAGTGGTCAAACACCGTCCCCGGAGCCGCGGTCCGACCGCGTCTCCCAGACGCCGTCTGCAGGTAGTCATGGCCGTACCAAATGCGCCGTAGAGTTGGCGGGCATAGCTGGCTGCTGCGAGCCCGCCCTGGATGGCCAGACGGGATGCGACGTGATATCGCTTGGTGACTCGGGCTGCCCTGACGATCTTGGCATGCATGTTGCGGTGCCGTAGACGTCGCTGGGTGGCAGCGGCGCGCGCCTGCCTGGTGCCGCAGCTGGGGTCGGCCCCCAGGGATGCGGCCTGCGCGCGCGGCTGGATGGGGCACCCCTTCATGCGCATGGCCTTGGCTGTGTACTTGGCGTCCTGGATGCGTGTGCATACTATGACGCTCTTCTTGGCGATGCTGAGGCCGTAGTCCTGGAGGAGCGCCATGCAAGTGTCGGTGAGAACGTGAACCATGTCGACGCGCAGGGCGCGTCGGCTGGCCTGCATGCGCTGCGACAGGTCGTCGACCCACATGCGGTGCCGTGCCTGAGGATGGCACGCGGTGACATGGAGCAAGGCCTTGCAAGTCATGATCTTGGCGAAACGAGTGCCCGATCGAAGCCCTTGCACCACTGAGCGCGTGGGTTGGATGGCGTCGGCGTAGGCCCCGCTCTGCATGAGCGCGCGTGGCGCCGTGCACTGTAAAACCTCTAAGCCCAAGATCTCGGGCGGGAAATTGAACTCTAGGGCCTCGTCAATGAGGGTGGTCCAATGTATGGAGTCGTAGAACTGCGAAACGTCGAGGAGGCCGCGAGCCTGCATGATGCCGGGCTTGGCGGCCATCTCCTCATGAAGGCTGCGCTCGTAGGCCTCGCGGAACGCGGGGTTCCCCTTGGCGATGGCATCCCAGTGGGCGAAATACTCCCCGTTCCAAGCCTGTACGTAGGGCTCCCTGATGAGGGACCAGAGCCGAGCGACGATGGTCATGATGCCGAGCATCCTGTCCCCGTTGTCCTGCTTGGCCCTCATGACGCCGATGGTGCGAAGGAGTTGATGGGGCCACATCAGTACCTGCTCTGGAATGTTGCACAGCTCGGCGAGCTCGCTGAGTGCGTTGTCTGGTAGCCGTTGTAGGTCGGCTGGTCGAAGTCGGTCAGCTCCCAAAGCAGTATTGGCTTTGAGACGCTTGATGGCTTGTCGCACCTCGTGGCTGGTGATGGGTGGCAGCGGGCACTCCTGGATTCGTTCGGCGATGCGGTGGAAGCACTCCTGCAGGCCGCCAATGCTGGCACCTCCCTCGGGTGCCCAGGGTCGTCTCCAGGTGTCTACCTTGCTGTCGACCAAGTCCTTGGGGTGCATGATGGTGGCGCCGCGGTCCTTGGTGACCTCGGCGGGTTGTGGCTGAGGTCGTAATGATCGATGTAATATACCTATGGCGTTGTCAATGACCGCCCAGTCACGAAAGTTGTAGATGGCACGTCGTATGGCCCGCTGCTGCGCTCGCCGTGCTAGGCGTGATGCTCTGACTGCACCAGCGACAACCTGCTCAGCGCTGCGCTGCTGCATGTTGCCGAGGAAATCGAGCCACTGCGTCCAGCTGTAACCGCCCTTGCCGTGGATGACGTGAGCGGCTTGGCTGGGAGCCGATTCGAAGAGCCTCTCGATCCCTCTGTGCAACTGCTGGAGCTGGAGGTGGCCGTTGCCACGCGCCCTGTGCCTGTAGATGCCCTGCAGCAGGGTGTGGAGCGTCGCCCACCACGTGCTGCTGTCGTCTGCAAGTGGAGAGATGCGTCGGCACTGCAGCTCTCGAACAGCTTCTATCTGGCACTGCGGTCCCTCGGCGCGTGAAGCTCCGCTGAAGAGAATCTGGTGGCGTGCACAAATGGAGGTCTCGACGGTCGTGACCCACGCACCGTAGAGTTGCCCAAGCTGCAGGGCGATGTCAGGCTTGAGCCTAAAGGCTGTAGCAGCAGCAGCAGCAGCAGCAGGGGCAGGCCGCGAAGCTTGCGGCGGCAGGACACTGATTTGTTGCCTGTGGGCACTCCAGAGCTCTGGGCTGATGTCGAATACGGGGCTTCGAGTTCGGCACGGAGGCTGGGTCCCCTGGCTTGCATCAGGGTCGCTGGGGGGGGGGGGGGGTTCTCACGCTGGGCGGTCAAATTACTACCTGTTGAACTCGACTGTCTGACTGCACTGGCTGAGAAACATGGATGACTGTCACCAGAGGCAGAATCATGCAAAGAGAGGCCGTCCTTGCGCTGTTGTTGCGGCTCACCATCAGGGCGGGCGGCAGAACAGGCAAAGGCAGCAACATGAACATGTTCGCTGTGAGACTCTGTGTTGGACGGCGCAAAGCAATGCTGACTGGATGGCAAGGCCCGGCACTCCAAAGCTGAGCTTGGCGACATGTCTTCTGCCTCGATGCGGGCGGAGTTCGAAACAGCAACAGGCACATGTGGGCTGAAACTGCTCTCGTGAGCCCAGGGATCTTCTTCGCCAGAGCTGTCCGCGAGCTGGGATTCGGGCACATCACTGCCGGACGTTTCGCCAGCACTGGTGGACAAATCTGCGGGGTCATTGCCCTGAAATCCTTGAGTAAGCGTTTGAAAAAGAGTCTGCCTGTTAGCCTCTGTCTTGAGACGGGCTTCCTGTCTGGCTGCTCTGGCACGGCTGGCCTTGGAGCCAGGGGCGGCAACTCTGGGGGGCTCGTTGGCGGCGGGGGGCAGCCTAGGCAGGCCGAGAACTCTAGTCAGGAGCTGGTCTCCTGTTTGAACGAGCCGAATTCGCAAACCTATGCGAGGCTTCCACGGCATGTCATGCACAGCGGAAACGTCGACAAGGCACGGGCGGGCAGCAGCGCTATGAACAACGAAATCCAAATGCGATGGCTTACGCCCGCCGCCAGGGTCGCACGTGCATTCCACAGGGGCGCAAAGGATCTCCCCTTGGACCTGATGAAGAAAGCCTGTCCTACTGAGAGCTTCGGGGCTGAGGTTCCAGTCCCCGACGACAAACCATGGGAGCTGAAGGGACCTGAGGAGGCTCCCGAGACGTCTACAGCGGGCGACATTGGGCCCTCTCAGGCCTATGCTACAAAAAGCGTAAAAGAAAACAGCCACAATGGAGTACCCCTTGAGGTGGATCACCACGGGGAGGAAACCGTCGAGGCTGCTGGAGGTGGGAAGACACTGGAGCCCTTTGGCCTGGAGGCACTCTAAGAGGGGATGGGCGCGGAGGCGCCCTCTGGGAAGGAACCACTCTCCTCCCTCATTGGCATGCTCAGGAGCGACTGTAGATTCACTGGTGGAATCGTGTAGTCCCCCAACTTCCTGATCAACCCGAGGAGGTCTTGCAGGGTTGGCGAAGAGCCGACGATTGATATCTCGATATCGTGCCTTCCACTTGCCAACGCTGCTGTCACTGATGTGTGTCTCCACAAAAGCCACGAAGTCGTCCGTAGAGGTCCTGACCCAGTCGAACGTCTTCTGGCCTGCACATGTGATGTTCCCAAAGAACAAAGTAGAGGATGTACTTGTACTGGTAGTAGCTGCCACGGCGTCGTGAGCGGCAGGGACGCTCGCCGTTCCCGCAGCTGTAGGTGACCCTGCTGTGCCTAGTCACTCAAGAGTGAGCTCGACTGTTGCGCCTGCCCTTGCCCTTGGCGCTGGCCTTGGCGGCAGGATATGCGGCGGCTCCTCCTGGTCGGGCGGCGTCGGCGGCAGCGGCCTGGGCTGCGAACCGAGCGGCCGAGAGCTTGGCGGCCTCAGCGGCCAGCTGCTGGTCGGCGTCCTTGGTGGGCGCGGCCTCAGCGGGGCTGGCGCTCGCGCCGCCATCGGCTGAGCTGCCTTCGCCGCCGGCCACGCCACTGGAGCCGCGTGGGGGAGTGGCTGCCTCGTCGGCCTGCCCAGAAGTGCCGCCGTTGGTCTGGCCGTCAGCGCCCTTGCGCTTGTTGGCGCACCTGGCCTCCTGGGCGCTGCGGACCTTGCGAGCCCTCTCGATCAGACTCGTGACCTGCGGTCCCTTGGTAGCGAACTGCTGCTGGAGGTCCTCCAGCCCTTTCTTGATGGCGTCCAGCTCCGCCTGCTCACCTTCGGCGAAGTCGAGCTCGTCGATCTGCTTGAAGAGGTCGGGGTCCCACTTGGCCGCGAAGGGCTCCTGAGGCCCGTCGCCCTGAGCGCCGCGGGAGGTCGGGTCGCAGCGGCCGACTCCCTCTGCCCTGGCGAGAGCCTCCGCCGCGCGCCTCTTGGCCTGCTCTGCGCGAGCGACCTCGAGCGCGGCGGCTTGTTCCTTACTCTCTGCAGCCTCGAGCGCCTTGCGGAGCCTGATGACGTTGCTGACGACCTGATTGTGATGGTTCGTGGCTGCCCGCCACGCGCCGTCGGCCTTCCTCATCGCCTCGACCTCGCTCTCCTGGACCACGACGGCCTCGGAAACGCCCAGCCGCTGCACCTGGGCGTTGAGGACCGCCTGCAAGGCTGGGTCGGTGGCGATGGCCATGGCCTGCCGCAGGTGGGCGGCCAGCTCGGCGTTGGAGGACGTGCGTGGCTTGACGCCGCCTGCCTGGGCACCGCCCTCGATGTTCGTAGCCTGGTCGGGGACCTCGATGATCTCCTCGGGCCCGAAGCGGACGACGCTGGGGCTGCGCGAACGAGAGCGGTGCAACCTCATGGGCCTGTGGCACCTGGGGCAGACTGGATGAGTGGGGCTGAGGCCATCGTTGTACTCGCATGTGTTGCACCCTTTGCATCGACTCCAGAGGCGGGTGGATCCCACCACTTGGCGCCAGGGCGCGCCCTCAGCTGCGGGGAAGTGGCGCGCATGGCGCCCCATGATGTCCCAGCGTTAGTCAACCGTAAAACCTGAACAAGAATGGACAGGGGCACGGAAGTCCCTCAAGCACCTCGCGGAGGTCCTGGGACAGCCCTGGGGGAAAGGTCCAGGGCCGAAAAGGCTTGAGAGGAGGCGGAGGCGGAGAAAGAGGAGGAGGAGGAGGAGGAGGAGGACGGTCCCGAGGAGGGCCCTGGGAGCCCGAGGGGGAAAGGAAAGCAGGGCCCCCACCTCCTCCCGGCTCCCTTTCTCCACGGCGGGTCCTGCGAGAAGAGCAGCAGGCCGGACGACGCCTCTGCGCACAGGGCACCCATACACCACGACCAGGCCAGGCCGGGGCCATCCTTGGCCCGGGACCCAGACCACCGACGTCATGATCTGTGGTTCACAACGTGGGCCCTCGGAGGTCTCAACCCGCTCCCCAGGACCGGCTTTTCATCCTGAGTCGTTTTGTTGACGGTCCCGCGGGGCCAGTGAAGGACCCCTGGAGGCAGAAAGTGGCCGCAGACCTCCCGTCGTGGTTTGAACAACTCGAGGGGGTCTGGGGATGCGGCGGGGCATCGTGTACAGTGCACAGGTTGAGCATCGTTTAACCGATCTCTATCCCCACCGGCGTGGCCTGGGCCCCACTGGCCGAGTTGCCGCCCTGGATGGGGATATAGGCTGTTCCCTTCGGGTCTCGAGGGGCATATCCTCCACTGCGCCCACTCCCCGTGCGTGTTTTCTGCTTCGTGCGTGCCTTTCTCGCAAGATGATCTGAGATTATCCACGATGCTCCTCGCCGAGAACAGATGCACACGTCCGAGCAACGCCAAGGACAGGGGACGGAGATAGAGGATGGGAATCGGTTAAACGTTGCGGATGCCACGACAATGGACACCCTGCCAATCCTATCATTGAATTTAGAATGTGCTTAAGATGTAGGAAAATGTTCTAAACCTATTTTATACATGTTTCTTACGTGTCTGAAACATGTTTAACACGTGTTTAAGACATCTGGACATTGTTTGGCAGCATGCTTCCTCTCCACTGATCGTCCTCCACAAGTTAAACGATGCTGACAGGCGCCCTCTTCGGAGCCTCATCCAGCGCGTCTGCGGCAGCGAGCCTGCTCAGCTGGCGCGGGTCCTGGCGGGTGCGGCACCCCGGCGCCCGGTTGGCCGGCACGAGCAGGCTCCGGGCCAGCGGCGCGCCCCCCCGGGCGCGGCAGGACGCGTAGTGGCGCGGCTTGTGCAGCATCAGGGTGACCTTGCTCGCCTGCATGCGCTGCCCGCGCGGCTCCAGCTGGATCGAGGCCGCCTCTGCGGCGCAACGGCGGGAGGGGGGAGCTCCGAGATGCGAGGTCTGAGGTTGTCGGACGTGTTCGTTGGTTCTCGGCGGCGGTCCAGCCAGCGGCTGCGCCTCGCCGAGAGCGTTCCGGGGGTGGCCGCACCGTCCCTAACGGCCGCCAGAGGCCAGAGTTATGACCCGAAAACCACCATTAGAGGGAGGGAACATCGTCCTGGAACCAGCGATACATCGCCGATGGATCTGCGATAGGCCCCTGGTAGCGGATCCGCACACTGATTGGGCCCCTCGGCGGTGAAATGGCGATTAAGGGGTCGATGCGCCCCCCCAAGCCTACAATAGGGGCCCGACCACAAGAAACCTCCCACAAGAAACCCAACCCTGAGACCCCAGGACGTCCCTTGATTTTCGGTGTGGGAACGGCGTGCTTTCCATAGCAAAACCATCGAAACCCAAGAAACCCAGGGCAGCCTGGAGGCGAGCAAGGCGTTTCTTGGCATGGGTCTCCACTGTTCGGCGACTCCAAAGGGTGTGGTTTGCAAAGGGTGTGGTTTGCAACCGGCACCCTGGGGAACATCCTGGGGGGCACCCTAGGGGGCGCGGGGGGGCCTCGATAGAATTCTCCCGCTCCCCGAGGAGGCCCGACTAGGACAGTGTCGTGCCCCCCAGGCCCCAACAATGCCGATCGCAAACCACACCCCGGCGTAACCGTACCCTTTGTAGCCGCCGAACTGTACCCCCGCTGACGTTGACCCGGAGCCTCCGGTACGACGGCAGCGGCGCTGAGCACTGGCGCCCCATCCACGCAGACTAGCCCGAGGCGTATGTAGCGGACCGCCTCCGAGCGGCTGCACAGCCCCAGGCGCGCGCAGAGGACAGACAGACGTTCGCCTGCTGGCGCCATGCCTCCGCGGGTGCCGCCAGCTCGGGCGCATGCTTGATCCGCGCTCGTGGGCCAGGATGAGGACGACGGAGAAAGGAGCCTGATGGCCACGACGATGACGATGGTGCGGACGCTGACGATCATGACGATGACGATGATGACGATGACGATAACGATGACGATGACGACGATGATGATGATGATGCTGATGATGATGATGATGATGATGATGATGCGCATGGTGATGATGGTGATGACGATAATGCTGGTGATGCTGGTGATGATGAGGATGATGATGCTGATGAATGGTGATGATGATGCTGATGATGATGAGGATGATGAACGAATGAACGAATGAAACAATGAATCAATGAGTGAATGATGATGCTGATGAAGGTGATGATGATGATAATGATGATGATGATGGTGGTGATGGTGGTGATGGTGAAGATGATGATGAATGATAACGATGATGATGATAATGACGATGATGATGATAATGACGATGGTGACGACGACGACGACGAAGAAGAATAAAGACGTCGTGCGCGTCGGAGGTGCAGGGTGATGAAAGTATTGATTGGCGTTGGCTGAATCGTTGTCTCTGTGGCTGTACCTGTGTGCGGGAGAACGGCGCCCCGTCCGAGCAGACTTGCAAACATCATCATCGTCGTAATCGCCGTCTCGTTATCGTAGCGTCGTCATCATCATAAGAAGCAGCAGCATCATTCATCATGCATGACTCATCATATCATCGTCATTAACATGATCATCATCATCAGCAGCAGCGTCATCATCATCAACATCCTCAAAAGCATCATCATCAGCATCAGCAACAGCATCAACACCATCATCATCATAATCATGCCCCGCAGGGGCACCCCCATCATCCTCCTCCCCTAGATCATCGTCACAGTTATCATCGTCACCATCAACATCATCATCAGCAGCATCACTATCAGCATAAGCATAACCATCATCATCATCCTCATCGTCATCGGCAGCATCATCAACATCAACATCATTGTCATCATCAGTATCATCAGCAGCATCATCAGCATGACCAGTATCAGCAGCATCATTACCAGTTTCACCATCACCAGCACCACAATCATAATCATCATCACCATCATCATCAGCAGCATCAGCATCGCCATCATAAGCGTCGTCGTCATCATCATCATCAGTATCAGCATCGTCATAACCATCATCAGCATCATCGTCGTCGTCATCGTCATCATCACCGTCGTCAGCAGCATCACCATCATCACCAGTGTCATCATCATCATCATCAGCAGCAGCAGCATCATCATCGTCGTCAGCATCATAATCATCAGCATCATCATGAGCAGCAGCTTCAGCATCATCATCATCATCATCAGCATCATCATACGCATCTGCATTATCAGCATTATCATCATCAGCAGCATCATTCGCATCAGCATAATAGAACCACTCTGGGTAGCGTGAACGCAGTTGCTATCGTCATAAGCATCATCAGCATCAGCATTACCATCATCATCATCATCCTCATCATCATCATCATCATCACCATCATCACCATCGTCATCATCATCAGCAGCAGTATCATCAGCATCAGCACCAGTAGCATCATCATCATCATCATCATCATCAGCAGCATCACCAGCATCAACAACATCATCATGATCGTCATAGTCGTCAGCATCATGAGAATCAACCTCATCATCATCATCATCATCATCATCATCATCATCATCATCATCATCATCATCATCATTACCATCATCATCAGCATCACCATCGCCATCGCCATCATCATCAGCAGAATCAATATCATTATCAGCATCACTACCATCACCACCATCATCATCAGCAGCAGAAGCATCGTCATCGTCATCGTCACCGTCATCATCATCGTCGTCGTAACCGTAAACGAAAACGACAGGGTTAACAAGGACACGGGCCCTCCCCAAGCCCCGCGCTCGGAGCACCATCGAAACTCTTCCCTTGGCGGGGGCAAGAGTTGTCCCTGGGCCCGGTGGGGAAGGGAGAAAATCGAGCCAGGAGAGGACGCGAGGGGAGGGGTTAATGAGGGGGCGGTGGGAGGGGAAGGAGAAGGGAATGGTGAAGGGGGCGAAAGCGGGACGGAGGAGGGGAAGAGGGGGTGGCGGGAACCGTGGGGACGAAGAGACCTGAGTGGGCAGACACACTGGTTGGAGTTCGGATGCGGGACCGCGCGCCAGCGTCTTCCGTTCGCAGGGTGCGAATACGTTCCAATGCCAATGCCAAGTTGTACCACGAATGATCATTATGTTATGGGAGGGCGGGTGGAAACGGGCGGGGCCCGCTGACTTACTGATCTAGCTAACTTTGCTCACACTCACACTCGCACTCTGGCTCGTTATTCAGACCACGCTCTCTCAGACCCACCTACACCCAGTATTACTCGTCGTCAGGCTCACTCACACTCAGATCCACTCAGACTCAGATTCACCTAGACCTACTCGCACTGGGACGTGCCCATCCCCGGACCCACTTGTACTCAACCTCGCTCATTGTCTGTTAGCTCACACTCGGGATCACGCATACTCATGTTCACTCGCGCTTATCCGCCGATACTTAGACTCACTTACGTTCAGACCCGGTCACACTCTGAACCTCGCGTTCCCTGATTCACTCATACACTGCCCGCCCAGAGTTAGCCATACTCAAACTAACTCATACCGAAACTCACTCTCACAGTCATACTCAATACGAAGAGCCATTCGTACTCAGACTCGGAGCCACTCAAAAATCAGAGCCGATCATACTCGGACCACAATGGTGTACTGAGCATGGCGTCAGGGCCGCACACACGGGGGGGCCGACTCGGGGCGCTCCACGGTCCCCTTTCGCGCCCAGATTGTGAGGAGGTCTTAGGCGAACCGCTCACTTTGAAAAGCACACATCTTTTCACAGGAGGAGGAGGAGGAGGAGGAGGAGGAGGAGGAGCAGCAGGAGGCGGAGGCGGAGGCGGAGGAAGAGGCGGAGGCGGAGGAGGAGGAAAAGGAGGAGGAGGAGGCGGAGGCGGAGGAGGAGGACGAGGAGGAGGAGGAGCCATCGCCGCCGCGATGCAGCAGGCATTGCAACTCGGGCCTCCCAAAGCGGTGTCCGACGAGAGGTGCGTCAAAGGGCTCATTCGCTCCCCGATTGCGGGGATGCTCCGTGCGAAACGCCTCCGTTGGGAGGCAGACATGTGTCGCTTCAGGGCCCCAGAGTCGCCGCGATGCAGCAAGCATGGCGTTCGGACTCACTTAAAGAAGTGTCGACAAGGAGTCTTTCACGGGCCCGTTCGGCCCCAGAGTGTGGGGATGTCAGAGGCTAAACGCCCGTGTTGAAAAGTGGGCGAGTGCCCCGCCCACACCCCCCCCCTCAGGGCGCATGGCCACCACGACGCAAGAGGCACGGCATTTGGGCCACCCAGGAAGGTGTCGACCAAGAGTGTTTCACGGGCCCGTTCGTGCTCAGACTGGAGATATGCCTTAGGCGGAATTCCCGTGGTGGGGGGAGAACGCGCGTCTGTTCAGGCCCCCGTCGTCGCTGTGATGCAACATGCAGTGCAGTTGGCCTCCCCATGGGGGGTCGAGCGGGACTGTGTCACGGGCCCATTCGCGCCCAGATTGTGGGGATGTCTCTGGAACAACGATCGCATCGGAGACTCATGGTCGCCGCGACGTAGCAAGCACTGCACTTAGGCCTCCCAACGGGCAACCGCCAGGAGGGTATGTCACGGGCATGTTCGCGCCCAGACCGTGGAGATGTATTAAGCGAAACGCCTGTTGTGAGCCTCAGAGCCTGATGGTCAGAACGTCATCCGATGTAACCATCCCCCCATCCTCCTCTTCCTCCTCACTCCTCCGTCCTCCGCCTTCCTCCGCATTCCCTTCCCCCTCCTCTTCTTCCTCCTCCTCGGCGTTGTAGCAGGCATGGCCCGTGGGCCCCCCGAGAGGGTGTCGGCCAGGAGTGTTTCACGGGCCCGTTCGCGCCCTGCTTGCGGGGATGTCCTACGCAAAACGCCAGCGCTTGCAAGTAGACGTGTCTCTTCTCAGAGCCCCAGGGTCGCTGAGACGTAGCAGGCAGGGCATTTCGACCACCCAATGGGATGTCCACGAGGAGGGCTTCATGGGCCCGTTCGCGCACAGATTGCGGGGATGCCTTAAGGGAAACGCCCGTTTGAGGAAGTAGGCACTATGCTCAGGGCGCCACCGCAGCGTAGTAGGCATGGCACTGGCGCCACGGCGCCACCCAAGGGGCCCACGGGGGGGGGTCGACCAGGAGCGCGGATATTTCTAGCAAGGGAAGCGCTCGACTTGGCAAAACGAACAGGTCTCCTCTCAGAGCCCCATGGTGGCCGAGCCCAGAGACATGTGTCCTCGAACCTCGACCCTCGACCCCTCCCGCCCATCTCAGCGCCTGCCCTCCTCCTGTCGATGCTGTCGATCCTTGCGCGACCGCGTCCCTCCAGCCGCGAGGCCACGGTGGCGGGCGAATGGCGAGCGAACGCGGAAGGGAAAACGGGCGCGGGCCACGAGGGAACGGTGACGGCCCATGAGGGCGGCCTCGGCGAAGGAGACGGAGGGGAGCTCAAGTCGAGGACGGACTTCGTGGAAGGGTGCGTATACTCCTCCTCCTCCTCCTCCTCCTCCTCCTCCTCCTCCTCCTCCTCCTCTTCCTCCTCCTCATCCTCCGCCTCCGCCTCCGCCTCCGCCTCCGCCTCCGCCTCCGCCTCCGCCTCCGCCTCCTCCTCCTCCTCCTTCTCCTCCCCCTCCTCCTCCTCCATTCCTTTTCCAAATAATATTTCTCCCTGTCCGCCCCGAGGCCAGTGTATAGGGCGGGCCGGGCGTTTCGCCTAAGATTTCCTCACCACTTATGACTCTGAAGCTCAAAAATGGGCAACTCTTTCACAGATGGAGGGCAGGTCGTTCTCACAATGTGCCTATCGCCTTAGCGCCGCGCGCATTCGTTTTAAAAATTTGCAAGGGCTTCACATATTGAGGATC